TATAGTCATTAACGTTATTGAAACTGACAGCTGCTATACAGCTCGTTGAGAAATGAGGTTAAGTTGGTCGCTATAAGCTACTCCCTACGTCCAATGTGTCAGAGCCAACTTCGACCACGTTTTTATTTGAACGCTCGTTAGAATATCGGAGGCGTTTCCCTTATAGGCAACATTTTCTGACCTTGCAGGGCATCGGGAAAATGACTTGAATACATTATGAAAATATTTTTTCATCATTCAAATCTTCATCATAACATTTTAAGAAACTCGATTAACTTGAATTTCACATTTATAAACAAAATATTAATATTAAAGCAGGCAATCTGAAAATCTGTGAGTAGAACATAATTTTTTCAATTTGTTTTCGCAAATTGTAAAATCAGTCTCCTTCTACATAGGGTCTCTATGTTCCATGTCTGGTTATTGAGATATGGCATACCTGAAATCTCACCAGCCGTCACTGCTTGAAAAATGAACAATAGTATGTTAATAATAATTTATATAATTCATTACATATTTTAACATTTTAAATTATTATTGACTGAAGTGAGCGAGAAAAAACAAGAGTTTCTAAAATAGTCAATATAACCGTTTATTTATGTCTAACATTAGGAAAATGTTTAAATTTGGCAACGTCGGTTCAGGGCAGTATCAAAAGGGGTTTAAATAATGATTTGAAAATATTATTTGTCAGCGCAAAAATGTATTTAAAAATTTTTTCATATTTTACTCATTTTTCCATATGTTCCCTTAAAATTAATGACATTATGACTGAATGACCCTGTATATGCAACAGTCGAAACTACCACTTAAATAAATTTTTGTCAATGTAATTTCCTTCTTACCAAATACTTCCTTGATATCCACAGCGATAGCGTCCTCTTTGGTGAGTGTTTCTTGAATGTACCTTTCCAAAATTACACCACAGTCCGTTAACGTCTGGAACATAGCTTTCAGTTTGCTGGAAGTAAAGGTGGGGGTAACTTTGACCCTCAGGTTTCTCCATTTCTTACCGCCAATGGAAAAGAGGTGACTTCCTGCAACAGTAGAACATGAAATGAAATAAAAGCTCGACAAAGGTGAGAATTACTTGTGTATTTTTCTAAATAAACTCAGTTTCATACATAATATTATTTTTCCATGTTATAAATCTAGATTCCGTACCTAAAGGATCATCCTTGATGTTCACAAAATTATCCCTGTCCACGAAATTGCTGAAATCCTTCGTCATTACGTGCTTCGCTAGCTCTAAGTCTACAATTAAGCCAATAGGACTTGCCATAGCGTATACCCCGCAGAACTTATAACCTGGAAAGGACAGAAAGGGAGTAAATAAACAAAAAATATACTTTTTCGAAAATTGTCATCAAAAGTCGACATTTTCAAGCATACACTTTCTATGGTTCCTAATAAGATTGCACAGTTTTTGAAACTAGAACATCCGGAAACATATACAGGCCATTCATTCCGAAGAACATCGGCATCGTTACGCGATCCAATATATTCAATCATCACATCTCTTGTTATATAACTGCACCTTCAGAACGAGTTTATTCATACATTTTACGAAGAATCTAAGGACTCGTTGCTTCATAAAGATTTACCATTTAATTTTGTAAATCAAATTAAATATAAAATATGTCAGTCAGAAAAAGATGCACCAGCAACACGAGAAGTTACAGATTTTCTAAAATATTCAAAAGTCCAGAACCAATCACAGAATGCACTTGTCAAGTTATCATCCAACCTTCGATATCAGCTTATTCAAATTGCCTCAAAAAAGCCCGATACGTTAGCCAAACGAGAATGGCGACTTCATCATCAATTATTGAAAATTCAATATTTACAATTGAAACTGATGTTAAATACTCTATTTCACGAATAGGACAACGTGATGAATTAGGAAAAGCACAATATTTTACTACAGAGAGATCGAGAATGATTGACCGGATTCTGAACGTACCCTGTCTCAATTGCTATCAAAACTGATTTCCGTTTGCTAAAATCACTTTTTTTCCGTGCGATTTCATGGTGTTCTGTGGCGATTTCACAATTTGACGTTCTGTTCATTGGCGCACGGATTTTTTGGCTTGAATATTATTTTGTAGATTTTGTTGTTACCTGATATATTTTGCGACATTATAAAACAGTATTTTTCAATTCTACAGTTTGAGTAGGTGGATATTATACGTGAGTAATTAATTTATTGCGTATGTTGTTCCCTAACCTAATCGGTTTTTTAATTTAGGTTAACATGGCATTTTCATTAGAACATGATAAATTTCTTCTGGAGGCCTATTTTCGTAGTGGACAAAACAATGGTAATGGTTGGAAATATTCGATGAATTCGTGTCATTTACAATTTCAAGAACAATTTCCAAATGATGAAATTGATTATGAAATTTTTTCGAGACACGTGAAGAGATTAGTGGAACGCTTCCATAACACTGGAAGTGTTTGTAGAGGAAAATCTCCAGGCAGAAAGTCTATTCTTACAGAGGAAGTCTTGGAAGATGTTGAAAACCGCTTACGAGCTAGTCCAACCAAATCACTACGTCGGTTATCTGCTCAAACAGGTACTTAATAACAAATATTTATTCTAAAATTTGTATCATTATTCCTAAATTGTTTATAGGAATATCATATGGATCATGCCATAAAGCAGTAAAGAAGTTGCATTTTCATCCTTATAAAGTTAGTGTTGTGCAGGAACTACTTCCGTTAGATTTTGGAAAACGTGTGCAATACTGTAATTGGTTTAACGAAAATCTGAATGACGACGATATTCTAGATCTAACATTTTTTTCTGATGAAGCGTGGTTTCATTTAAGTGGGTACGTAAACTCCCAAAATTATCGCTCTTGGAACACAGAAAACCCTAATATTTTGCGTGAAACAACTCTGCACCCTATTAAACTTGGTGTTTGGGTAGCTATGTCACGTAGAAGAATAATCGGACCATATTTTTTCCGTGAAAATGTAACTGGGCAGGTATATCGGCAGCAAATATTGTTACCATTTTTTGAGGAACTTCACGACGATGAAATCCATCATGGATACTTTCAGCAAGATGGCGCAACAGCTCACACCTCTAACGAAACTTTAGAGTTGATTAGAGAGTATTATGATGATCGAATAATTAGTCGAGATAGATGGCCACCACGTTCTCCTGACCTTACACCCCTAGACTATTATTTATTTGGTTTTTTAAAAAATGCAGTATTTGCTTAACGGTTACACACGATTGAAGAACTTCAAGAGGCAATTACAAACGAAATTAGGAGTATTACACAAAATGTTTTACAGAATGTATTTAATAATATGAAAAGAAGAATTAATACCTGCTTGAACAACAATGGACATCATATTGAACATTTATTGTAAAAATATAGATATTTTTATGGATTTTATGTAATTTTAAAGTAAAATATTCAATAAAATGTGAAAAAAATTCAATTACTCTGTTATTACATATTGCATGTAACTGTTGTTTATTGCTCTCGGTCATACAGACAATCCTACCATCTAACATAATCAAGCACTTCCAACTGCTTGCATTTGCTTGAAGCAAATTTTTTTAAGACACTTTTCCTGAATTTCGACAGCTAACTAAAATGTTCAGCATAAATTTTTGGGCTGGATCGCTTGCGCTGGATATTCAGAAGTGTGAAAGCAGTAGCTGCAAAATAGTCGTCTTATAAGCATACAGCAGTTTGCTTTGATGAAAAACAGCAGCTTGCAGCGTATCGCTGTATAAATGAATCGTCTTAGATGCCAAGAATGTAGCCACAATAGTGCTTCTCTTTTAAAATTAACTCAAAACTTTTTAAAAATAAAATCGCTGAAGCACTTCGTTATTCAAAATTAGCTACATCAAACTTTGATTTAAACGTTTTTCTAATTGTAAATGAAATAAGAATTTTGGAAAAGTTAGGTTAAACCTACATTTGATTCTGTCATCCTCTTTAATAATAATAACGATAATAACATTTATTGGTCCATCAGTATTGCTTAATTTGTGAAATAACTTTGATTTTTGTTAAATAATTGATATTTTTGTTATGAATTTCCATTTTGACAGTAACCTAATTTATTTCCCTCAACCTGCGCTCATGATTGGTATCAAAAACTGGTATGCCGCACATCAAAAATCAGTATGAGGCGGCACGGTCAATCATTCTCGATCACCCTGTACTTTGAACTTAAATTCTGGACTCCACCAAATTATATTTAAGGACACTATGAATTCTCGCGGATGCCTATTGGAGTAAAAGGAGTACCTTCCACTTTCTGAAAGAATTGGCTAATAACAGTTCCATCCCGTCTTCGTTTTTGTATTCGAGAGATTATATGAAGGATAAATCAGAATTCTTAACACAGAAACTTGCATATTCATGTGATTACAGTTTAAGTTATGAAAATAAAGAATCCATAAAAAAATATAAGGTTGAGTTTGCAATAAATGTAAGGAAATAATAAAAGAGGCTCATACAAGAAACCAAACAAAGTCAGTTACTCTAAGACCCTCCACTAATGAGTCAAATAACTAATTTTTAAATCTTTATTAAAATCTGAGGATTACAAATAACAAATAAATTCACTTTATCAGAAATTTCAATTATCAATCTTTCAAACAGTTATACCTAATAACAAACTCCTTATCTTGACAAATCAATGTTGCATTCTGCTGGGTAATGCATGAACATTAGTAGATAACAATTATTATTATCGACATAACTTGGACTTGAGTTATTTAACTGATACCCCTTTGTGCGAGATTATTATTATTTTCAGTTTAAAAAACCATGGGTGTCCCAATAAGATGAGAAGCCCCTGATAATTTTAGCATTGTCATATCAAAAAAAAATTCAGATAAATGTTGTAGGATATAAAGAAACCAACATGTTGCTTCAAGGTCAAACAAAGGTCAATTTGAAAATATTAAATGGAATACCTCATCTATACACAATCGACTGTTTTTAGTCCATAAGAAAGGTGTATCAAGTTGTTGCAGCAAATAACTTCCTAGCGGCAATTACCATGTCCGGACGCAACGCTATTGGCTTTCTGTATTATTTCCAATACAGGGTGCTGCGTGTATAACCTATAAAAATTAAACTTGGAATGCCACATCATCCAATAATTCAGGCAACTGGTTCTCCAAAAAGACAGCATATGTTGGTCCATTTAATCATCCTTCAAAGAAATAGGGACCCACAAGTACATCGCCTATTATGCTAGCCCAAACATTTACCGAGAACCGATGTTGAAAATGAGTTTCCTTAATCGCGTGAGGATTTTCATCGGCCCATATGTGCATATTATGGCAATTCATTTCATAACGGGTAAATGTCGCCTCATCTGTTACACAAACATAAGCAGAAAGTCTACTCGATTGGCACATTGCCGTAAAAATTATCTGCAAAAACGCATTCGTTGATCACAATCCGAGGGTAAAATCTGTAGGAGTGCAACAGCTGATGCGATGTACGGTACGAGATGAGGTTCCTACTTGCTGTGCCAGTCGCAGTACTAATTGTGGGTCTTGGTCAAGATTTTCCAACACTGCATCTTCAACATTAAGGTTCACTTGCTAACCACGTCCTTCTCCTCGAGGAATAACACTTCCCGTATCTGACAGCCGCTGAACGCACTGTAGTATTGTAGTTGCACATGGGGGGTGACGTTGTAGCCATCGTTTCCGGTACAACCTAGTCGCCGCGAGCGCATTTTCTCCGGCTGCACCATACGCTAACACCATATCGATAGTAAGTGTATTGTTTTCTCGGTTCATTGTAAACTAGTTTGTGCACAAACTAAAAAAATAAGCAAAGTAAGAAATAAGAATCTCGTTTTTAATGTAATCGGCACGCTGATCTTATGTTTTACTTCTTTATAAAGATTACACTGTCACTAACGTGGAATTACAAAATAAAAACTTTTGTCTGGAATCTTCCACTTTTTAACACTGATGGGTCGATGGACGATACTTAATATTTAATAATTAAGTGAATAATGAATTCAATTTTAGTATTACTAGTATTAGATTATACTGACTTAAATTATAAGGTTGCATCTTGGGTCGCATAAAAACATTTCCAAACTATTTAATAAATAAAACAGGATCGGACTTCATTTTCGTTGAATAAATGAACTTTAATTTACAAAAAAAATGCGAAGATAGAACTTTTTCTATTACAAATATCATCAAGAAGCTGTAGTTTAATTTTTATAGATTAAACAAGCCACACCCCATATTGTTATTTAATCCTGGATGTCTAATCAAATAGGTAACACTAACACTAATCAAACAATAAAACCATATAATCCACAGATAAACATTAGAAAAGTAATTACATGATTGTTACAGGTGATTTTAAACATACCTTTTGCTCGAGCTCTGTCGTACAAACTTTTTATCGTATCACTAATTGACTCCTTGATATTCAGAGGATTAGAAAGGTTGCCAAAAGGAATAGTAGGTTCCAGATAAGGTACATTTTGCCTGGCCCAATATTGGTAAGTCCACTTGAAATATGTGTAGATTATCAACAAGAGTGAGGTAAAAACAGCCAAAGCATCCGCTAACATATTTCCTGTGAAAGTCGTCATTTCGTTCTAGGACAAAAAAAATGTAATAACATTTCTACGCTACTAGTAAGCTGCACATCATTTGTTTTATATTTTTATCACCGCTTACGTTTGTTTGATTTGCGTTTTTTTTAACGTTTGACTTGAATGACCTTAAAACTGTTACACACAATTCTAAACATTGTAGATAAAGATGTGTGTGATCAGATGATTCAAATCATGCAAACTTGTTCGGTAATACCCTGCACCAAATTTCAATTGATTTAGTCAAACCCATTGGAAGATATAAACAAAAACATTACGGAAACTTCCACGCAATCTTCCTGAGGCGCCCTCAATATGGATAATTTTTATCTGCACCTGCGTTAGTCGCAAGAATATTGATCACTCGCAAAAAGCGCAGTTATGGATCTGGATATTAACGACTTACTTAAATCAGAATCACAATACCACTTTCTACACTTACAATTAAGAAACAATGATTAACACTAGAATCAACTGGACTGCTAACTTTTTTTTTTATAATTTACAAGCATCCGATGGGGACAAAGTTTGATAAATCTGATAATATTTTCAGACTACTACGAGATAATGAGATTGAATCAAGTGATGAGGCGGCTTGTTTTCGCAAAGTTTAAGTAAACACTAGAGTAAGGTTTGGAGTATGTAGACTGTTGGTTGTTCGATGAGGATCCCAAAGAGCACACACTCATTATAATAATAATAATAACTATTTATTATGCACATACATATATAGAAATAGACACTTAAAACTAAGACAACAAAAACTCATTAAGATCATAAAAACATCTATCGGTATTTTAATTTATATTTAAAAGACTTAGAAACTTGGATTTACCTAATTTCCACTGTTAAGGAGGATTTAAGGATATTTTGTGTTTATAGTACGGTATATGATAATCATCTTTCTGCCGGGTGTTCACTCCATGAATACTACGTTTTGTAGGAAAATTGTATCGATTTAAATACACATAGGTACACAATTCAAAAATAAAAATTCATGTGAGTGTTGGCACTCCATAATCCTTAAATGAGCTTCTACACGTTTGATACCTCGGGACACTCGCGATACATCGTAATATCTTTTTTTTTGAGCAATAAATAGAATTGGCTCAGAAACACGCACCGTACCTCAATCGGGATACCACTTGGGCGTAATACAAATTGATAAGTTGATCCTTACCAAGAACTGGATTTAAGCTTCTAAACAGCACTCATCTAATCTAAAGCCTAGAAAAGTTATTGCATTGTCGGTGTATGACAAAGAAGTATTGTGCACTTAAATATTCATTTTAAAGCAATGTTTCTGATAGTTATGAAATCTGATAATTGATGTTTTAATAGGATTGGAATAAAAAGATTTAGCACCAAACCAATTATCTATTTCCTGGAGAGTTGAGTTTTATTTTTTCACCAATGCTCCATCCGTTTTTTTTCTGATATAAGTAATGAAGTGACATCAGCATACATAACAAGGCCGGCATCATTAACATAATGTGGAAGATCATTGAACAACAAAAATAAAATTAGCCCCAATATTGAACCCTGTGGTACCCCTGTGCCTATTTATCTATATTCCGAATTTACTGTTTTCGTAGAATCCAAGTGGGAATAAGTCAAACTAATGTATTGAAATCTGTTCTTTAAATATGAAGACACCCAGTCATACGTTACTCCCCTAAAACCATAGTGAGACAGTTTCAACAACTTATTGTTGTCGCAAAATATCCAAACAGGCTCACTCCTGCCTCCATACACTCGACAAGCCTTCCACACAGCGAAAATAAAACTGTATTAGTTGATTACCCGCACGAAATCCATGCTGTGTCTCTGTAAAAATCTCGTACTTATTGATAAATTTCTGGAGTCTGAATTCAAAATAGTATTCGAATATCTTAGAGAAACATGACGGAATCGACACTGGTTTGTAATTCTCTATATTTCTATTATATTTTTTTTTGAAAATAGGTACAATTTTATTAATTGTAAGACTCTCATCACCCGCATTTGTTTGTATTTCAATATTTTTTCTGCAATTCGATTTTCCAGAGTATAAAGAGACAAAAAAGGTGTATTTTTTATCGCATAATTAGAAAAACATATGACACCTAAGAAAAAGCAGTGACGTCTCGTGTTTAATTATTAATATCAACAGGAGTGAGTCCCCGAACGCCGCACTATGTATAATTTTTTTTTTGTTTGTACAAAAATCAAGTATCTTGACTCAGAGAGTAGATAAAAATACGAGCCTGGTTGCAAATGAAAGCTGAATGGATGTAGAATATGAAAAAAATTTGACTGAGACGATTTTTTTTCTATATGACCTTCGAATGACTAGGCAAAGTCTATGCAACCCAAAAATTTTATGGATTTTTCTAATTATATCGGTCCTAATTATCTTAAAATTTATTCCAATGCACACGATTTTGCACAATTTGGCACGTCAATTCCAAATCTGGCGTCAAAAATCATTTTTCTAACGCTAGCAAAGTCTCTCCAAAGTCGGTATTATTTTCAAGCTTTTTGACACTGTTAAGCAAGAAAATTATTCACAAATTAAAGATTAATTATTAACCTGGGTTTCTGTTTTTTCTGTTTTTTATTTTACAAATAAATGTCAAATAAACACACTGTAGAAGGTAAGCAGTGACTTATAGATAAATTTTAAGAGAATTAGGCCCGATATAATTAGAAAAATCCATAAAATTTTTGGGTTGCATAGACTTTGCCTAGTCATTCGAAGGTCATATAGAAAAAAAATCGTCTCAGTCATATTTTTCCATATTCTACATCCATTCAGCTTCCATTTGCAACCAACACATAGTGCGTCGCTGGAATAGATAAAATAAACCAAATTACGTCAGAAGACATCTACCGTTTTTATAAACAAACATACCATATTTCAAAAAATCGGAATTAGGGTTCTCCAGATATTAGTAAAAACCTTGTATTTTCTCTAAATTTCAACACCCTGTATTTCCGAAACGAAGCATTTTCGGACGTAGGTTTATAGGAACTTTCTTTCTTATTTTTGGTCAAGGAAACCACTAGATCTAGTCTAAATTTATCCACATTCTTAAAGCTTCTTCGAAGAGAAGCATTAGTAACAGTAGTATTAGACGTATAATTTACTTGAAACTGTACTGTTCTGTGATCAGGTATATCATTGTCAATTACAATTATGTGGACATCCTGTGGTTGGTTGCTCTGGATATTCCATACCAGAGATGGGCATTAGTGGAACACATCTTCAATTCTGACTGAATCCATGCGACTACATCGTTAGACTAGATTAGACATTAATAATTTAAGCAAAGATTTTCAATCAAGTCACCAATACTTACTTTGTAGGGTTTCTGAATTCTCGGCCTATTTTTTTTCTCGGGTCTCGAGAATGCTCGACTAGGAATTCCCGGGAATTCTCGAATTCTCGAGAAATTTCTAAAACTTGAAAAAGTCATAATTTTGGTATTGCAATGCGAAATATAAACATGCTATTTTACTTAACAATCATCATTAACATTTATTATTTATTCAGTATTTTTATTAATTACTTATGTTTGTACTTCTACTAACAAAACTAAATTAAAATTTGAGATTCTTCTTAAATACCTTTAACTTGTTTTTTTATTAAACACATTCAATAAACTTATGTTTATTTCAATGTTTTTGAATCGTAGTTTTCTTTAAATAATAATTATTAATAATCATTAATCATGCAGTCTTTTAATTAAATAAATAGTAAATAAGGAATTTAACCGAAGAAATCTTAAAAAAAAACAAGCTTTAATTTAAAGATACAGAAGCGGTCTTCCTATTAATTTATCACTTCAACATTAGGTATCTGCTTATAATAAAATTTCTACACAGACTTATAACTAGGTACAGGGTGATTAACTATATTTTGACCCCTTCTTTAACTTTTTTGTTTTAAGAGATAAAAAAAATGTGAAATACAAAAGTTGCACGATTTTTTATGAAATTTTCGAATTTGATAGTAGAAAAACAAATGAAGTTCAAACAAAATGGCCGCGGATGTTAACTTTGTTAATTTAAACGGAACACCCTGTATATTTTTACACATTTGGATAGAGCACAGTCATATATGGTTTATTGGGTCCATCTCTAACAATAAGCGAGATAATATTAAAAAACGAAAAGAACGTTTTTTTATTAAGAAAATAATATATTTTGTAATTGTTGGACGTTTTTCGGGAATGTTTGCCTTTTTTCCAATTACGTAAGGATTTAGATTTATTTGCAATATATTTTGACATATCGAACATTAATATAGTCCAAAATGGGTATAAGTATTTTAACTAAATCGCATTAATTAGTCCGTGAGGGGCTTATTCACTCATGGACAGTGTTATATGGTAGGCCGTGACATTGACAGGTAATATTATGACAACATTGTCATTGTTTGACAGTTTTTATTACTATTAATTTAAAATGGGTTACACAGAAGTAGAAAATTTAAATATTATAGGAATTAAGATAGAGTAGTTAAGATATTCTCCATAGTTTATTTTAATTCCTAATAACATTTCAATTTTCTACTTCTGTGTAACCCATTTTAATTAAATACTAATACAAACTGTCAAACAATAACAATGTTATCATGACATTACTACCTGTCACTGTCACGACCTATCATATATAAGATTGTCCATGAGTAATTAGCCTCACACGGTCTAATTAGTGGGATTTACTTAAAATACCTATACGCATTTTGGACTATATCAATGTCCGATATGTCAAAATATATTACAACTAAATCTAAATCCTTACGTAATTGGAAAAAAAGGCAGAATTGCCTGAAAAAGGTCTAACAATTACAAGATGTCTTATTTTCTTAATAAAAAAACATCATTTCGTTTTTTAATATTATCTCGTCTATTATTAGAGATGAATCCAACAAACCTCATATGACTATACTCGACAAGGAACGTTCTATCCAAATATGTAAAAATATACACGGTGTTCCGTTTAAATTAACAAAGTTAAGATCCGCGGCCATTTTGTTTGAACTTCATTTGTTTTTCTACTATCATTTTCGAAAACTTCATAAAAAATCGTGCAACTTTTGTATTTCACATTTTTTTATAACTCTTAAAACAAAAAAGTTAAAGGGGGGAGTCAAAATATAGTGAATCACCCTGTACATTAAAAAAAAAGAATCATCAAAGTAAAATAAAGCCTTAAAAACTTAAAATAAGTAAATCATGAGCTGGTAGAGAAACCACTTTAACCGCTCAGTTATTTGTCGAACAACGAATTGAACGCATGAACGAAACCAACTCCAGTCAAGAACATAAGACGCGCGTGATTTTTAAATTTCTCGATTTCTCGATTTCTCGACACTTTTGTTCTCGTCTCGAGTAAGGCCAAATTTCCCGGGAATTCTCGCTTCGAGAAGTCTCGACCAGAAACCCTATTACTTTGCAATAAAAAAAAGGCATTAGTCGAATAAAACGTTAGTCATGACTAAATGTCTAATAGCCTCTTATGAATCGAAATAATTGTGAAAATAATATTTGTGACTTACTATTTTTAAGTTTTCAATGAATTTTCTTTATAGTTTTCTTGCACTCATACTTTTTTATCTGTACAATAACAGATAAAATTTAAAATACTTTATATTAACGACATTTAACAGTTAGGCATTTATTGTGTTTTAAGTAGCATTTTATCCGCGCAAGAATGTTTATTGTTCTTAAGTGGTTAAAAGGCAATTAAAACACAAATGCAATAGAACGTTTTATCATAATCATATTTGTGGAGTCAGAATTATTGGAATTTAATAAAAATATGTATATGCGCACGACTTGATATTTCTTACTAGTACATAATGAAACGTGGTAGGTTTTGTTATACCTACTGGTTGATATGGTACGTTGTTTATTATCAATTATTTAATAAACAGTTCTATCTGAATTTGGTAAAAATGCAAGAAAGTGATCCTGTGGCTGTTTTTGAAGAAGTTCAAGAAACAATTTTCCATTTATTGCTAGCGAAATCCAGGGAATATTACGAAAAAGTGTTCGCCGAATTTAACGGATGGAGGGAAAAACGGAGAGTAATGACAATAAATCGTATTTATTGTATTTTTTAAATCTGAAGAAAAAATATACAATTTCATCTATGCGGTCGAAGTATTCGATGTTGAAGGGTACTATAAAGGTCTGCAAAAATATAGATATTGGAAAATATAACAGGTTTACTGCTTAGTTAAAGAGTGAATCGAGAGGATACAAAGCAAAAAAAGCTGCAGTATTGGAAGAATTTTTTACTGAGGTTTCCGATAAAAAATATTTAATGATTAAGATAATATCTCTTTATTACCTTTTACATGTTGTTAGGTATACAGGGTGTCCCGGAAATGGTGGGCAATATCTCGGATATGGATAGATAATGAGAAAATAATGTCACAAGTTCATATAAAAATTTTTCCTCCGGGCTCACCCTGCAGAGTTATTAGCTCTTGAAGTTGAGAATTAAAAATGGTTTTTTTGCTGTAACTTTTGTATTTTTCAATAAATTTTGAAAATTTTTTGGCTGGATCTATAATTTTTGAAGCTGCTTTGGATGAAAATATGAAATCCTCGATAATAATTATGGGGGCCCGGGGGCAAAGCACCCCCCACCAAAATTTCTAGAAAAAAAAATTATTCCACTATACCCCAAATTTTCCATCATTTTACAAACTTTTATGGTATTTTACGTAAAAAAGGTATACTTGTTGAATATCCATAAAATATAATTTTGTATAATTTTTAACGTGTACTGACAGTTTCTAAAGTGTGATTTGATAACAGTGGTCTTAAAGGTAAATTACATGACTTACTTTTAACACTAGTGCTAAAAATAATTCACTTTTAACACTAGTATCATAAAATGAAATTGACTGACAGCATGCGTTAAAATTATACCTTAATGACGTTTGTAGAAAAACAAGTTTAGAGACAACGGTACTGTTTAATTTGAGACATTTTATTTAACAGAAACACAGGTTTAATCGTAGTTGGCTTTTACATATCAGAATAAAGGACAAATAATTTGCAATAGCAGTGTTCCAAATTATGAGAATTTGGACTTAACTAAACTAACTAAACGAAAAGTGCATGACAATCAAAATTTTGTAACTAATATAATTCATAATAAATTCTCAATATTAGTTCCACCTTCTCTTATACAAATACGAGCTCGTTTAACAGAAGACTGTTGCACTCTCCATAACATTTCAGGATTTTGTCGTATTTCATTTGCACAATAAAAAATCCTTTCTTCTAATTCTTCTCTAGTGGTTACAGGTGTGGAATAAACAAGATTTTTCTCTCCAAACATTAACATAAAATTGTCTTTGGTGCCTAGTTTCAATAATAGCGTGTCGGTTCTCATCAGACCGATAATGTAAATTATGGGAGTTAATAACTCCATTCCTCCCAAAACTTGCATCGTCAGTATACAGAATTAATCTCGTAAACATAGGATTTTGCTCATGTCTCTGAAGAAACCATTGAGAAAACTGCACTCTTGCACGAAAATCTCAGGATTAAGAACATGCACTTTTTGGATATGGTAAGGGTGAAGAAGCTGTTCTCTAAGGATTCTTGCAACAGTGGTCTTTGGAACATTGGTAAAAGAAGATAATGACCTAATGCTAACTGTTGGATGAGCAGCAACTTCGTCCAGTATATTTTCCTCTACTTCAACTGTACGTGCTATTCGCGGGGTACCCCTGTTTGTAGTAACAGGAGCAAACTGACCTAAAGACATTAAAATTTATTTAATATCCATTTTGTTTATTAATAGTAATCGTATTTTACCAGTTTCTCTTAATCTTTGATCAATACGTTCGAAAGTTTTGCGATCCGGAATCCTTCTATTAGGATAAGAATGCTGATAAAATCTTCTTGCTGCCGAAGCATTACAAAGAGCCCGCCCGTACATTAAATGCATATCAGCATATTCTTCATTGGAATACTCCATATTTTATAATAAATTATGAGTTATGAGTCTTAGATTTAAAACTACGTATTTAACAAATTTGACAATTTAATTGCCTTTGGCATACTCTGACATGTCAAAGCCAACCACGATTAAATCTGTGTTTCAATTAAATAAAATGTCTCAAATTAAATGGTATATTCCTCTTTAAACGGGTTTATCTAAAAAAATATCTATTTTATGGATATTCAACGAGTATGCCTTTTTCACGTAAAATACCATAAATATTTATAAAATGATGGAAAATTTGGGGTATTGTGGAACAAAAAAATTTTTTCTAGAAATTTTGGTGGGGGGTGCTTTGCCCCCGGGTCCCCATAATTATTATCGAGGATTTCATATTATCATCCAAAGCAGCTTCAAAAATTATAGATCCAGCAAAAAAATTTTCAAAATTTATTGAAAAATACAAAAGTTACAGCAAAAAACATTTTTAATTCTCAACTTCAAGAACTAATAATGTGAACTAAGATTGAGGACTCGTATTTGCATGTATAATTAAATATAACGTATTTTATTAATATTATTCTTATTATTTTAATAGTACCAGGAACAAAATTAAACCCATAAAAAAAGATAGAAATAATTGCAGTAAAGAAAATACATATAAGTAATTGTATAAAGGGTGGACAACGGAACAACGACATAGAATATTTAGCGTGGTGGTGATTCAAATTTTTTGATAATAATTGTTTAATTTTGAACGATAACAATGCTGACGCCACCTCTACTACTGCTTGTTTTACGATTACTGCTTATGCCACCTCTTTTATTGTTTGTTCTAAGTTTACAATAACAAATATTTATAGAACAATATCTCACAAAAAAATGGGCCTCCCGTATTAATTTTAGTAGTAAATCCAATTTCACAATGCAACTCTAAATTTTAAAATAAATATTAATAAATAGTTAATTGTTTACATTTGTTAACATCAAAAACTTGTAGAAACTCTGCACAGGCTGTCAGTTCTAAAACGCCGATTTATAAAACATTTTAAAAATTTAGCGTACTTAGGAGATTTAGCGAACATTCACTCTTTTTTTGCAATGAAGCGGTATTTTGTTTCTTCTTGCAGATGGAAAGTGTTTTACCATGTTTTGCGATTGGATCTTGACAGAACATAAATTTAAAAGAGTTTTCTTAAAAGAAATGTCAGGTTTAAATTTAGATCTACCAAATTGTCATCAGATCAAAAATAATATTGTTAAAAGATTTATTATGTTCCGATTAAACATGGCTTCCAAAAAATGCCAAAAAGCATAAAAAAGCTTGCAAGTAAAATTGTTGCTGGACAATTATTTTAACAAATACTATCACTAGCATTAAGTATTTATTTTTGTAATGTAAACTCAATAAATTTCATTGTGTAATGTAGGTAAGCTTAATTTTACTTGCCTAGAAAATAAAAACTACTAGTTGCTACTATTATATATTTATCCTCCCCTATTGGACAAGTAGATTCTACATTCATTCATTATTTAAAATCACTTTCCAAGGGAGTTATTTGCTTAAAATCTGTGCGTAAAATTTATAAGAAAAATACTATTGTCCTTAATTTATTTTTTATAAAAGTTACTTTTAATTTGATATTGGATGCAACAAGGCGGATGGGCGGGGTTTAGTCGCTACTGTCGCCACTGTCTTGTATAGAGCCATTGTACCTGAGATATAGAGTTACTGCCATCTAGCGGTGATATGTTAATCCTAAAATTCACTGGAGACGATAACGTTTACTCTTTAAAAAAAGATGTTTCAAAAAAAAAACCACAAATAAACTTGAAACCTTTAGAGGAATACTATATTTAATTCCAAATATTTACAAAAAATAGTTCTCTATAATAATACAATAGTAGCTTAAATGCTAAATTGGAAGGTGTTAAGGCGCCTTACATAAAATTCATACGTCCTTAATTTCTTACGTTACTTTCTAATATCGTCGCATAGGAACTTGTGTAAGGCCACCTTACACCAACCTTATATCGATATCGAAAGGCATTTACATATTTTAGACTTTTTCAATGTTTAACCAAATCCCACCTTCGGCAGTGGTGATGAAAGATTTAAAAGACAATTTTATGGGCACCTGAGTTTCTTTGTTCAAAGTCACCCTGAAGTTTCTTAGGATTGAAGTCAGTCCTACCTTGGTTTGCATAATTCCAAATCTTTCACCTAAAAGAAAAGCAATTGGTTTAGTCCATACTTCTCTCCTTAGACATATATTCAGGAAGACACAAAATTGGAATTGCAAACAATTTTCCTACTACCAGAGAGGCATTTTGAACTCTTGTATTTTCTTTTTATAAATGTATAGTTTGTGATAGGCCATAGCGCAAATAGAATTTTGCTCCTTTTTTATATAGGATCGAAACTTTTGGATCTATTAATTTATTTATTCTTAATTGTATGGAAAAAGTTATTGATATGTTTCGAAATTGTAGTGAGTGTAATATATCAATTATTCATTACATTCTGATTTTCCTCGGTAATAATATAATTTAGGTCAAGGTAAAACAGGATATATCCATGCAGATTTGAGTCATACCCTCAAATTTCTCAAATTCGAAACATACTTCCAACATTTCAAAACTAAAGTGAAACCCATCTCATACACTTACCTATACACACCCTGGGCCCTTCCCCGAAGGGGATGTGAGCGTATGGATGTCTGGCTTTCTTGTTTTCCTCTGTGAACCTGTCTGGATCGAATTCGGTAGGATTATCGTAATATTCTTTATCATAGTGGTACCCCACGATGGGAATAAACACCCTGGTGCCCTTTTCTATAACGATGTCCTCCCCAGGTACATTATAGTCTTCTACGCATACCCTAGAGACCACCGGGAGTGGTGGATACTTCCTTAGAGCCTCTGAAAATGACTCAGATAAAAAAACTTGGAATAACAGAAGCCTCGGCTTACCGTCAATAACTTGTCTCATGTACGTCAACTCGCTAAGTGAATCGTACGTGATTTTGTTGTCGTGCTTCGCTAGAACCGTATGGATTTCTTCCCGGACTTTATCCTGGATGCCCTGATGAGTCGCCAATTCGTACAAGACGAAGGTGGCCGTGGTCGAGCTGGTTTCAAAGCCTGCTATGAAGAATACGAAGCATTGCGCTGCTAACTCGTCCATGGTCAGAGATTTGCCGTCCCCTAAAATTAAAAATCCAAATGAAAGTAAATCTTAGATAGTCCGGTCAAATTAGTCATAAAAATAGTAGTCAAATAACGTTGTTGACGTATAAGATGAAAAAATGTCTGTGTGAGAGTTTAGTATTGTCTAAAATTTGTTACTGTAATATAGTATTTTATCCATGTTTAGACAAAGTAACATGTAACAGATTACAAAAAATTCAAAACACTTGCTGTAAGTTAATTAATAACCTGAGAAAGTATGACCATATATCTACTGCTTTTTTAAACTTAAGTTGGTTGAAAATTAATAACACATTCAAATACAATTTCCTTTCGTTTGTGTTTCGTATACTAAACTCTTCATCTCCTGAGTATTTGAAAAATAAGTTAACATGTCGCAACGCAGTTCACACTCTAAATTTACGGAACCCAACATCATTAACTATGCCTCATCATAAGACTGCCATGTTTCAGCGGTCATTTACTTATAACTCAGTTAAATTATACAATTCTTTGGATAATACCATCAAGGGCACCATGTCTGAGGGATCGTTCAAAATACATTTGAAACGATATTTGCTACACTTGCAAAAAACAAATGTATAATATTTATTAATTTTAAAAATAAGTCAATATTTGTAGTTTGTTCATTATATTTTATTATTATGTATTGTAATGTTTGTTTTATTTTAGGATTATAATTATTAGATATAAGGTTAGTTTTAAGTTTTAGGAAGGGTTAAGTTAGAATGGCCAGTGGGCTAGACTTTCGCCTTTTGTAAATTTCACTTAGAAATTGCAATAAAGACGTTATTATTATTATTATTA